CTCTCTCTTAGTGAGATATAGAGAGAGAGAGAGAGAGAGAGAGAGAGAGAGAGAGAGAGAGAGAGAGAGAGAGAGGTATCTAATGTTACCAAAATTTCCATCCGCAAGAAACAGTTTAATTGTCAGCCTCGCGAGCAGAGTGATCCTTCATGTTTTACCTTTCCATTCATTACTCTCTCTCTCTCTCTCTCTCTCCCTCTCTCTCTCTCTCTCCCTCTCTTAGTGAGAGAAAGAGAGAGAGAGAGGGAGAGAGAGAGAGAGAGAGTAATGAATGGAAAGGTAAAATAACAAAATAATCATAAGACCGCCTCGCGGAAGAGGAAAAGAAATCGTATTCTATGCATAAGACCGCCTAATCCGGATTATCCGGGTGAGATACCTCATGATTCAGAACGTCGTCGTAGCCCAATTACGTTTCGGCCTATTTCAATTTTTACCCGCGGCTTTCAATTCTCCTACGATTCTTCGATTTTCCTCCTCGGCAATTTTCTCACGGATCTTCTCAAAATCATGATAACTTGTCTCCTATTTTTTTTTCGAATCTTTTTTCAACTACGAAGCGACTTATGAACCATTAATTGGATTGATCCCGTAAGTTCTATGGTCTTCGATGCACCGTTAACAATTAATCCTAGTATTCATTTAATTGATCAGACATTGCTCGGGTTAACAGAGTTTAACACGGCGATCGGACCTTTTTAACCTTGTTCCAGGAGGCTTAATGAATTTTGGTTCGTCAAGCGAGTCGGTTCGGACTCGAAAATCGTCGAGAGGCCGGTCTTCCAGGTATTTCTTGAAAATGTTACGGACTGAACCGTCCGTGAATGTACACCGCAACGATCAAAGCATCCCCTTTATAACAACCCCTTCAACTTTGGTGGACGATTTGTTTTAGTCACTTTATCGGGCTTCGAACGAAAAGGTCTGCTGCCTACTTGACGACGATACGAGATGCACGAGGGGCCTTTGCGCAACGTTGTTCCTCGTTTCATAAAACGTCGAAAAAAAATCGCTTTCTCTCTCTCGAATAAAACCAAGGAGACACAGTTTACCGGCGGCACTGCCGCGTGAAAGCGCGTTAGGAATAAAATGATACGATGCGAGTCGCGGAGGCGGAGGCCCCCGCGATTTAAAACCCGTCCAGATTTATCGTTGTACCGCTCGTTTTCGAAAATCGGAAATCTGGGGTGCCGAGACTTCCCGGTGCTGTTGTGTATGGTGCCGGACCGTGTTATCACGCCCGGAATTACTATACGCGGCGCGTTCCCACGCTACGATTTCACGAGAGAATTGGAACGCGAATCGCAATCGTAGGAACGGACGGAAGTCGGTGATTTACACGGTGGCTGGAGAGGGGGGGGGGCGATCCAGATCGAGTTCCGAAATTCAGAACGATCGAGGACGCGGAGAAACGAGCTGCGCGGGGCGAGCGCGAGCGGTCTGGATCGCGGTCTAGATCGCGGTCTAGATCGTGGTCGCGGTCGAGGCCGGAATTGCTCGTACCGCAGGTGGTTTCGAGGATTCGAGGTAAACGGTTCGACGAGACAGGTTCCGAAACGGAACGAGATGTAACGTGAACGGGAACGGGAGGAACAGAGAGCGAGCGAGCGAGCCAGCGAGAGAGAGAGAGAGAGAGAGAGAGAGAGAGAGAGAGAGAGAGAGACGAGCACTCCGACTCGTATTTAATTGATCCATAGAACGCGCAAAGTCGATAAAAATGAACGAATAATTGATGGCGGATGCGCACCGCGCCGACAGATACGCCCAAATAATAGAAGGTTTTCTTGGATGTCAGTCAACGCGTATGAGTCATCGACTGGCACACTGCTGTTACATAGTGTACTAGCTATTCGTCGATCGTCGAGCCTACCAAACAATCGACAAACCTACTCGTCGGGAAGAAATCCGTGTTCGAACGTAACCGCGCCGGTGTCAGCGGCGATTCTGTCATCGTTACGAAATAAACGATGACGAAAAACATATATTGGCGAACACCTGTCAGCCACAGGAGCCACTGGTTTCTCCCTTCCCCTCCCTCCTCCTCTCGCTGACACTCCATCTATCCATGAACATACGTATTTTCCTTTCTCTATCTATCCAACTATCCAAATATCTGTCGCAACCATCGATATACATATACATATGTGCATATACATATGTACGTATATGTATATGCCTGTACATATATACGCATATATGTATATCTACATATGTACGTACGTATATATGCATATATGTATACATATGTATGTATGTATGTATGTGTATATACTTATATATGTATATATGTATATATATATATATATATATATATATATATATATATATATATATATATATTTATAGAGTAAGAAAGAGAAAGAGAGAAACAGAGACAGCGTACATATCTTCTACTATCTATCTGTCAATGCGTTCAATTATCTCTCGGCTTTGCCCGTCGATTCAGAACTTTCTTTTTCAGCTGCTATCGACTGTTCGACGGATGACAGTCAGCGCACACGTCTCTGACACCTCGGTAACGCCTTCTTTCTTGTTTGTCGCCTCTCTTTTCCTTGTTCCTCGTTCCGGCATCGATCTCATCAATCTCGCGGAAGCGCGGTTTACGAAGAAATAGCGTCGGCGAGAGGAAAAACGGCTTGAAACGAGTTGTCAAGGCGGCACGAGTTGCACACGAGTTGTCACGGCGGGCTGAATCATTTTTGCTGGACGTTGTAACTATCGAAATACCAGGAAATCATAACAAAGAATGCGTACGAGAGCCCGCTAAAGACAGCGGTACCAGAGAACACCGTGCACGGTGTATGTATACGAGAACGAGAAACGTATTTTTCGACAGTTGTGACAGAGAAAGCGCGCGGTGCGCGAGTTAACGAGACGAGGAAAAACGCGGATGGCGAACCGAAGAAAGAAAGAGAGAGGACCGTGGCGGAAAGAGAGAGGGCGAGAAGGAGGGAGAAAACGTTAACACACAGGCTTGATAGCAGGTTGGCCTGCCTAGCTGGCTGGCAGGCAGACAAGCGGGCCGAATGCTCCGCTTAGGCGAATCGGCTTAGTCGTCGCTGAATTGTACGTAGGCTACTTGGAACACTCACCGCGACGAGGGCTGCTAATCTATCCTTGGTCATGGCGAGGGTGACGAACGGTTGCGAGTCAGCGGATGTACGAAGCGAAACAACTAGCGACTAATCCCATTCACAATTTTCTCCATGTACCACGAGCACGGCCACTAAAAACTAAAGGAAACGGACGCACTAGCGGCGAGAGACACGATCGTAAAATCGATATACTCGCGAACTCGCCTGCTTCTGCAGTGCCGTCCACTGTGGCGCGCACGCGCCGCTGACGTCAACTCTGCTCAGGCCCGAACCTAGGAGTCCTCGCGTCCCCTAACTAAATTTCCTATTTCTCAAACACCACGAACTCCTTATTTCCACCCCTATCCGATCACCACAGTCAGCCGACATCTGCCGCGATCAACCTGCAAGCAAATCAGTTGATTCACATTGTAGTTTAATACCTCGACTACCGCGTCACCCGTGCGTGGGTGACGGAATTATTTTTGCTCAAATTTCAAAATTAATTGCAGCGTTATACATAATGTGATGTAAATTTGATTAGGATCCGCAAAACCTAAAAAGATCAAGAAACCAATCGGTATCGCAGATCTTAATTTTTCTATTTTCCGTTAATTAAGTTCCATTCTTGACATTTCTTTCGAATCGAAGCGTTCATCGAACAACTCTGACATGTTTGGTAGTATGACAATTCGATTTGTAGTAAATATAAGTATGCCGTCATTTGTTTTCGAGAGATCAGTTCAGATTTTAACGATTTCAAGTGAAATTAATGATTGCCAATCACGAGTGAATATTTATTTAATCGTTAAATAGATTAGATTATAAACTTCGATAAAAAAAAATCATTGCAAATTAAAATTTCATATTTACCGCCATGTCACATTTTAGAGCAGCACCTGTGAGGAAACACCTCTCTCGTACGATATGGAATTCGATGACACATTACGGCCTTCCGAATCGTGTACAGAAATTGTACAAAAGAATGTTGTATGCTGTTGCTCGGTGTGTTTCCAGCAATACCAAACTGTATTCGCTGATCACATATTGTCTGTTTACAAATATTCAATGTATCATTATTTCTTAATATTTCATTTCCCTGCACATAACGAGCCATGCAGTAAAAAGGTATGCATGTCCCCATCTACGTTGGAACACTGAAGCTGCTAAGAATTTGAGATTCATCGTGTACTGCAAGTTCTCCGCGAGAGGGCATTACCGTGCAATTTCAAATGACAAACTGTTGCTTTTGCCAAAACCGAACCATCATTTTTTACTTTTGGAATCATATAAGATCCGTATTTAAATCTAATGTCGCTTGTGCAACAACACTCCTATAATGAATAATTTGTACAAATATGTCATTAAGTATCTCTAATAATCTCTGAGGTGTACCCGATACTTTTATCTATTTACTGTTCTGTTTCCCGAATAAACAATAACTTTTAAATAACTGATAATGATTCGGTTTGAATAAAACCGACAACGTTATACATATATAATTCAATGTCGATGACAAACAATACGATAAGACATGACGAAAAATGAACAATACGGCTTTAGAGTTTACATTTAAAAACATCTAGACAAATTAAATGTCAATTTACCATTTTTCACTGTTGCCGCATAATTGGACTATTCGACGCTTCCGTATTCTTTGTTTTAAGCACATCATGAATGTATGTACCTACGCGACCGTTGAAAATGCTTCGCATACGTCGCACCTGGTTTCATCATTGAATATCGCAATCCAAGAAAGGTATCCTTTCGAATCGGCATATAGCTCTCTGATTGGAAGAGGGGAACGCGATTGCACTTGGAACGTTATTCTTTCGTTGGAAATGAAAATTCATCGGTGCCGGTTCGATATGGCGCGCATAAAATAGATGTCGCTTCCTTCGGACATATTCCTGTTGTAATTTTCAAAATAATACAGTGATTCACGCATTTTTTTAACAATTCAGTCAGAAAAATATTCAAACTGAATTTTTTGAGATCCCGTTGGATAGGCGTTTCTTTTAATTCGGACACGGTTGCACTCGACGAATGACGAAAAAGGAGACCCCTACTCGTCGAGTCAAGGGAACGCCATTGTGAGCCATAACAACTGTGTCGCAGGGTAAGTTTTATCGGTCATTTTCACGTACACGTCACTTGCCGGGAAATTTTGTACACGCACCGTTCAGTTTTTCAAAATCTCGACAGAGTTTAAGAACAAGACGTTCAATCGTTCGATTATTCGTCGTTCCCGTAAAATTAGCTGCAACGATATTTCGATAGTGTAACGTAAAAGTGATTCTCTGTGTTTCGACGGGAGGCGCCATTCTCCAAGAACGTGGTGGGTGAATTTTTGCCGTTGAGTAGCGGTTCGAGGGTGCCGGGATATCACTGGACCGGCTTTTCGTGCTACTCTGCGATGTATATTCGATTAAGATTTTGATACATGAAATTTTTCAAATACTCGTAATACATTTCTGTCTTTTCCCGGTCTCTTTGCTCAGTGGGTAGCACCAGATCACGTTTTCAATGCGTGATACGTCCACCGATCTAGTATCTTCCAGTAATTTCGAAACTAACTGACGAAGATTTTGATTGCCGCGCACGCGATAGCGGAATTATTCCTTAACACCCTCACTCGCGATTAAAACCGTGTCGTAACCATTGCAAGTGTCTTAACTCACGAGGGATCTCGAAATGTAAATGTTTCCTCCAACAGTGGTTTCCTCATTCACATGCAAGTTTATTGTTACTTTTTCAGATTCCTAACCTCAGCAAAAATGGCACTCGAAATAACACAAATCCCACAAAATGTGGAAATTCCGACCTTCAAATGCGTCCTGGTAGGAGATGGTGGTACCGGGAAAACAACGTTTGTAAAACGACATTTAACCGGCGAGTTTGAAAAGAAATACGTCGCCACTTTGGGAGTTGAAGTACACCCTCTCATATTCCATACAAACAGAGGGCCTATCAGGTTCAACGTTTGGGACACGGCTGGCCAAGAGAAATTTGGTGGTCTCAGAGATGGTTACTATATTCAAGGACAATGTGCCGTTATCATGTTTGATGTTACATCAAGAGTTACATACAAGAATGTGCCAAATTGGCATAGAGATTTGGTAAGAGTTTGCGAAAACATACCTATCGTACTCTGTGGTAACAAAGTCGATATCAAGGATAGAAAAGTCAAAGCGAAGAGCATCATATTCCACAGGAAGAAGAACTTACAGGTAACAACAAATTTCATGAACATATGATTCATGTTACATTTGTCTATCAAATATACCGATTGCAATCATTTCCATGTTTGTAGTACTATGATATCAGCGCAAAAAGCAATTACAACTTTGAGAAACCCTTCTTGTGGTTGGCACGCAAGCTGATTGGCGATCCAAACCTGGAATTCGTTGCTATGCCTGCTCTCCTACCACCTGAGGTCACAATGGACCCACAATGGCAGCAGCAGATAGAAAAGGATCTTAAGGAAGCACAGGAAACCGCGCTACCAGAAGATGACGAAGACCTTTAGTTTGTTACATCGTGCTCATGATCCGAAAGGAGGCATGCCGTACACGAGCGTACCCCGACTGTTACGTTCTCATGCCTCTATTATAGGTCGAAGATTCTTTCTTTGAAGGAATTAAAACTCGTGTAAAGATTTTGTTCGATACGTTAATAATGGTAAAAAATGTTGACCATTGTTAGAAGGGATACAGGAATTGAATGCCGCTATGTTTCTACGCTCACGAATCGTGTGCGTGAGCATAGCACGTAAAACGTCTAATTTTATACTAGTATCGATTGACCCAAGCATAACGTAAAGTCGTATCGAAATATTACGAACAGGTGTAAGGCTTTAATCGATGTATAACACTTTACGAAATTTTACATGTCAAAGTATAAAAAAAAGTCGTTCCATGATCAGAAACCGCATGTTCGTTTATTCTAAGATTCGACAGTTTTTCATACTCTCCTGATTTTAAAGTTAACTCCGACAGTATTAGTTATCTAAATTCGTCGTTTACTCACACATACGAATGCTTAGCGTAACCGAGGAAACGATTTGTGCGGTACATCAAATTGTTTACCGGTTTTAAAGTACATATACGGTGAGTGATAATTTAATTTCCGTTGTCAATGCTGTCGCAGCTAATTTTAAGATCAGAAAAATATGAAAAAATCTTAGAATGCATGAACTTGTTGTTTCGAAAATCACGAATGTAGAATGTAAAGTATTAATTCTGCAAGAAAGAATCTATCGATACACAAAAACCCTGATTTTTAGAAGTCACTGTTTACATACACGGAGATCGAGACGTATGTACACAAACACTGGCCCGAACGTTTTAATCGAATACACATCACTCCGAAAATGTTCTTAAAATAGTTGAATCCTTATCTGTCGATGACTTACGCGTTGACGTTACTTTACACCTCGGTTACAGGATGACAAATGAATTTGAAAAGAAGGGCATCGATGTGTATACGTACTCGTCAAACGAACAGTGCAACAATCGTCTTTGCGAATATCTGCGACTCCCAGACATACTGTTGTATTTTGAAATAATGTTACGATTGAGATGAAGCACGGTTTGTAGTCAGTTGCGCCTGTCCACGATAATAAGGACTGTTTACTATTTTTATAAGCGAAGGTGAATGTATGATTTGTTCGACTTAAATTATATAAACAGTGTTTTTCTTTTCTATACAAAATGTTTTTTTTTATGTTTCGTTCCGTTGGGAGCCAAAGGGTTTCATAGACTGTTTTCTTCTCCTTGATTCCACCGGTTTATTACCGATGAAATTAAAAATACTGAGTGAGTACGCGCGCACGCGGTCAAAGGTGCACACCAAATCACTAAAGAACCTTTGTCGATGGAAAAATAAAAGCAGGTAACCACTCGATGGTCGAGGACTTGGGAATTCTGCTCAATGAAACTTGTACCGATGATGTATTGAGTTCAATAAATCATCCTTGAACTGTTCTCAACGTTATAACATTCCCGAGGCACAACGTTCACGAAGGCGTCACGGGCCCTATGTCGATTATTTATTGTATCGTTCGAAGCAGAGCGTCAAAGGTCATTTCACCTCGTTCTGGACGAATCAGGTGAATCTACCGTTTTTGTTTGCTTAGAACTCTGCGAATTTTCAGCAAGAGTTTTCTTGTACGCTGAATCAGAAATAGAATAAACAGTTTTTACAAGAACAGAATACCTTGTATTTTAAATAGTATTTGTATTTGCAATCTCCGTTACACAAGGCTACAACGCTAGAACTATACATTACTTCTATAATAAACAGGTATTTACAGAGAAAATGATTAGATTCTTAGAATTATGTGTATTTGTTAAAGAAAATGCATACACGTATAGGACTAATACTCATGTCGTATCGCGGCTATACCATATATTTACTTTACGATAACAATGTAGTATTCATTCAAATCACTTCATTTACCCAAATCGTATGCACGCTTTTACACACAATGCAACTTAAGCTTCAGCCTTTGCTTTCTTAGATTTCTTTTTGCCTTCCAGAATATCTGCACGTTCTTTCTCGGTGAGAAGTGCCAGTGCCTTTGTTACTACCCCGGTTGCCGTTGTTGTGTTTCCAAATCGCAATGTGAATCGTTGCCCTCTTTCAAGAACCATTGGCCTGATCATTTTTAATTTAGCTCTAGATAAAAAAATAGTAAATATATTAACTTAACGATAGCATATATTGACTTCAGTGCTATTTTTTTACATGTAAAAAATACTTACGTAAAATCTTCACCAGGCATGACTAAATTCTTGTCGATTAAATTAATTTCTGCTGCGACATCCCAGGTTTTGCAGAAAACTTGAATATGGGACAAGTGATTGATTGGTCTCTTTCTGCCTCCTTCCTCAGGGGTTAGCATGTATAGCTGACACTCTATATGATCGTAAGCCTTCATTGAACCTGGCTTACACAGTATCATACCCCTCCTTACTTCCTCCCTTTTCAAACCTCTGACCAAAGCACCCAGCTGATCTCCGGCATGAGCCTCTTCGAGTGTTTTATGGAACATTTCTACTCCCGTTACGGTACTCTTTAAAACTTTATTGTAACCGAGTATCTCGCATTCTGTGCCTTTCTTTAATTTCCCACGCTCTAATCTGCCCGTCACTACCGTCCCTCTACCACCAATGGAATAAATACTTTCTATAGGTAATAAGAAAGGTTTGTCTAGATCTCTAATAGGAGTTGGTATATAAGAATCTACAGCTTCCAACAATTTCAGCACCGGTTCCTTTCCAATCTCTGGCTTGTTTCCTTCCATTGCGCAGAGCGCGCTCCCCTTCACAATGGGAATTTTATCTCCGTCGTATCCCATCGAGCTCAGCAACTCGCGAATTTCCATTTCTACTAATTCTACCATTTCTTCGTCAGCTGCATCGATCTTATTGAAAAACACAAAACGATATATGTAACTGAATATAATCATTGATTCAAACGTTAACAAGCCCTACCTTGTTGATAAAAACGACAATATGATCAATGCCAATTTGTTTGGCTAACAGCACGTGTTCTCTCGTTTGTGGCATAGTCCCATCGGTGGCAGCAACTACAAGAATAGCTCCATCCATTTGCGCTGTACCAGTGATCATGTTCTTAATGTAATCAGCATGACCTGGACAATCCGTGTGTCCATAATGCCGATTATCCGTTTGATACTCTACATGAGTCGCATTGATAGTAATACCACGAGCCTTTTCTTCAGGCGCATTATCAATCTCAGCATAAGCCTTCAGCGTTGCCAATTCTTTTTCTGCTAGAACTAAAACGAAAAGCCAATAGATCGATATTATTAGAGCAAGGTATTCAAACAGTAATGATTTATTTCACAGAAAGAATAGCATACCTCTAGTAATGGCTGCAGTTAATGTTGTTTTTCCATGGTCAACGTGACCGATCGTGCCAACGTTACAGTGTGGCTTTTCTCTACTGTATACTTTCTTCTCCGCATAAAACCTTTGTGCCGTGATGTTCGGCAGAAACGAGCCGATACGTAACCTATCATGAAATTGCTGTAACGATAGAAAAACAATCAGATACTTGCTCATGTTAATATAAGTGCAAGATATACGAATGTAATATGTTTGTAATAATTGTCATACGTGTTTCACGAAATGTTCGATGTAAAATATTTGCTTTACTGTTCGCCTGAGAGCTAAAAAGAATAAATAAATAACGACAATCTTTTAGAAAGATTATGTTCCATTATAATTCCATCGGAAAACTAGAAATACATCAAGAGCATGTTACTACATTTACGTACCCGGATTAAAAAAAGATTTTCTATAGGCAAGAGCCATGTCTTTTTAATTCTTCGATTATTCAATCTCCTAAGTGGTCAAGTACGTGTTTCTGTTCAACGCGGGTAGATCAGAGTCAACTGTATATACACTGAATTTCTAGAGACGAAACTTTGACATTCTCTAGTAATCAATCTCCAGCGCGCGGTGTGCTGCATATGTGCAACTAAATTCCCTATGAAGATAGTCTAGAAATTTTAGAGTTAAGAATCAACGGCATTTTAAGACCATGATTAATCTTAAATGCATAAGGATATTCGAATACATACACGTCACATCATGTGACGTAATGAAAATAATTTTGAACATCGTTTTCAAATGTATAATATTTCAAATGTTGCCGCGCTTTTCAACATTTACAATTTGACATATAAAAGTTAAAATGAACCCACTTAGGAACGCATGCGTTTTGAAAATTGGTCCTTGAAAAACACGGAAGAGTTCTATTTCTGGTATGATCCTAAGCATAGGCTGTTTTTGAAAAGCACCATGAATGGTCGGCGGCTGAAGGTGTTCAATCTATAGAATTGAAATTTGTGGCGGGTTGTTGGCTGCCATCTTGGACCTCGCTCGTTTGAGAAGCCGGCCGCCCGCAAAAATCTTCGAGTTTCACGCGTTCGCGCGGCTTCACGTATTCCGTAAACGGTTTGCGTGATTTCACGACGAATCGCCAGACCTGGCGCGGCCGATTCAATCAAGATTCGGGTCCGGAATGTATTAGGTGAGTCCGAAATAAGTCAACGTTAATTTCCCGATCGCGATGGCGTGTGATTTATCTCGTACATGTGTGTTCGTGCCTTGTGCTTGTGCGTGCTTCTCTATTTCATGTAGCAGATAGCAGATTAATTTTTACCTCGGTTCGTCTTCGATCGCGAAGATATTACAGTATTTTTTTCGGAACACGGTAGTCGGTTATCGGTCCCACTGGCGTTCCGCGAACCCGTAATTATAAATTGCTGGAACGAACCGGTAGTCTTCGGTAAACTCACAATCAATAGACATCTGAGTAATATGCTCTTCATTCGTCGTAATCAACGAACAAATTTTTTTATTTATTAATCATCTGTGTCACGTTCAATCATTTCCGCCACATTTAAGGTTCGTTTTTACATCGCGTAAGAATTCCCGTCGAGTTTCTTACCTACCTAACCACGTAAACGATCATTTCATTTAAATTCTTTTCAACTTTGTTGCATAGGTACTTCCAGTAGAAAATACGTCTTAACAATCATAAAAAAGATTCGGTCACGTATATCATCCTTCATATTTTCAACAAAATACAATGGTAATTAATAGTTATTGAAGTACTAAGTTTTTTTTTTATTCTGTTGCTTTACCGCATGTTTGAGAAATACTTTATTATATTTAGCGCAAACCATTTTCATTCAATGGATTGTACATAACGTAATGGCTCTATGCTTCAATGAATCAATTTGCTTTTGTGTGTCAACTTCCTTTTCTGCTATGTATGAACATTGAATACAATGAGAACACATTGCTTCAATTCAAAATAGAAAATGTAATGATCTCAAGTGAGATGAACAGTGTTTTCGTTTTATAATTTTTCAATATTTTAAATTTTGGTAAAGCAGAGCTTAATACTTTTCCTAGGAAAGAAACGTATAGTTCTCTTTGTCTCTTAGCATTTCTTTTTTTCCTCCTTTTTTTTTCATTAATTAGAGAAAGCATAATATTGAAACTAAATTTTAATATACTGTACTAAATCTCCTACAAGCATTTTGTTCTTATTTTTTAATGTGAATTTTTTTTAATGACTCAGGTGTACTTTTTTCCTCGCACATTCGTAATTGGGTGAGTGGAGGAGAAAAAGTAACTAGGTCTTGTAACTTTTTGATAGACAACGGTGAAAACATAGCAATCAACAAAACAGATAATAATAGCTATATATCGGAGAGAATGGCATTTCCTAGTAGAGCACGCGTTTATACCGATGTGAATTCACACAAACCTAGAGAATATTGGGACTATGAATCCTATGTTGTCGATTGGGGGTAAGTCAATGTTTTAAACTCATGTAAGTACATACATTTTCTTTAATTTTACTAACTTCTTTAGTTTTTTAATCAATTTACTTTCATATATAGGCAGCAAGATGATTACCAATTAGTAAGAAAATTAGGCAGAGGAAAGTATAGTGAAGTATTTGAAGCTATTAACATCACAAATAATGAGAAGTGCGTTGTAAAAATTTTAAAGGTAGGAAAACTTCAGCAAAATTTTAAGTAATTAGAACACATTATTTTTTAAGAAGTCTAATTCTTTTTCTATTGATTTTTTAGCCTGTAAAGAAGAAGAAGATAAAAAGAGAGATTAAAATCTTAGAAAATCTTAAAGGGGGGACCAATATAATCACACTCCAAGCAGTTGTTAAAGATCCAGTATCGAGGACACCGGCACTGATCTTTGAGCATGTCAACAACACAGATTTCAAGCAGTTATATCAGACATTAACAGACTACGACATTAGATACTACCTCTTCGAGTTATTAAAAGTGCGTGTATTGTTAAGTGCAATGGAAACAAGTTCGAGATTATTAGTTTCATAGATGTAGGTGTATATTATAGGATCGAGAGAACCTAGAGAGAGAGGGAGAGAGTTCGAAAATATTTCTATTTTAGCACAGACATGTTGTAAGCATGTAAAATTCTTGTTGTACTGACCATTATGAAAGCATAAGTCGTTGTTTTATTTTCTTTAACGCACGTTTAACACGGGTAGATCTCCGTTCCGTTAGAGAATGTAAAACAACCACTTGGTTTAACTTTAAACGTTTTTGAAATTTTCGAACTCGTCAGATAGTTCTTTACAGAGATGACAATTATGAAGAACCGAAAAGATCTCAAAACTCTTATAACGTATATCGGTTTCTGTTATAGTTCTTCAGAACTGATATTGTATTGGTTGTTTAATTGTTATTTTTCGATTTTGGGTTTCGATTATAGTTTTATTTTACGTAATACGTACTAACATTGTATTTCCTTTAAGTATTACAAGTATAGATTCTATATTTAAGTCGAAAATGTACGCGTCTTTATAATATTTAACAGTTATAACAGTTATGAGATTTTTTTCGGTCCTTCATAACTGTTACAAGAACCGAAACCGATATCTGTTTTCTATCCCTGGTTCCTTAAGTAAGGTAACGTGCGAGAATTCACTTTATGTTTCTGTTCGGTTTATTTATCTGTAGCTGGTTTCGAAGATCGAAGGATACACAAATAAATTCACATGACATTATTCCATCGTTTTCTCTGCTTAGGCACTGGATTATTGTCACAGTATGGGAATAATGCATAGAGACGTCAAACCGCACAACGTTATGATAGATCATGAAAATCGGAAACTGCGGTTAATCGACTGGGGTCTAGCAGAATTTTACCATCCTGGTCAAGAGTACAACGTACGAGTAGCTTCGCGTTATTTTAAAGGCCCGGAACTACTCGTAGATTATCAGGTTCGTAATATCAATGATTTTAAATATATATATATTTTCTTTCCTTTCAGTTCTATCTCCTCATAACAAACCGATTCTTTGCAGATGTACGACTATTCGTTAGATATGTGGTCTCTTGGATGCATGCTTGCGAGTATGATATTCAGGAAAGAACCGTTTTTTCACGGACACGACAATTACGATCAGTTAGTTAGAATTGCAAAAGTACTCGGAACCGAAGAATTGTTTGAATACCTTGACAAGTACCACATCGAATTGGATCCTCGTTTCAATGACATACTAGGCCGGCATTCGCGCAAACGTTGGGAACGCTTCATGCATTCGGAGAACCAGCATTTAGTGACTGCCGAGAGCCTCGATTTCCTTGACAAACTTTTGCGCTATGACCATTACGAAAGACTCACCGCCCGTCAAGCTATGGACCATCCTTATTTCTGTAAGTATACAGAAAACTGAAAGATGTTCCATCTCTTCTCCGAGACTTGTCTGATCCGATGTCTTTATATTTTAGACCCGATAGCGAAAGATCAAATTCGATTAAGTATGGTATCATCGTCACCTACTCCCGCGACAGGTTCGATGCCTGTAGGTGAGTAACGGCCCAGGTAATGTCACCACCACGATTTCCAATTTATAATTATTTAACCATATCATTCACGTATTGCTGAATCGACCACACCACGAGAACGCCATAAAATGAAATGAAAATGAAAATGAAAATGAAAAAGAAAAATACTTTGATTCCGCATCACCGAATACGATGCGCGTTGATCGAGAACGATGATCCGTGAGAAGAGTTCGTAAGCATAATTCGGATTCACACACACAATTTCTATTTTATGATATTTAGAAGGAACGAAAGCATACCAGCCGGGGCAACGTACGTGGTATCTGTATCTCGGATATGGCGCCTGTGGTTTAACAACACGAGAGTCAGTTTCGGAATCAAAATCAGAATCTGGACTCGCCGTTCTGAGCCGCTCCAGCCGATTCGCAATGGCGAACACCGCTGTTGGCAAAGAGGTGTTTGAAACGTTGAGCGTTGGGAACACACATTACATATATTCAGAGAAATGTATCGTTGCCAGAGGGTGCCGGTCCATTGATACCGTATTCCCATTGCGAATAGGTTGCAGCGGGAAACGAGACAAAAAAAAGAAAAAACTTACGTTACGCTTTACGCAAGGTCGTTCCAGGCACCTAGATAACAAACGGACAAACAAATGTAAGCGCATCCGCGGCCAGAATAGGAACCATGTTATTTGTCACTGACGTATATTCGATTCAGAGATGTTCAGAGCAGGAGTATGGAATGACCAGTGCGGCTTATATAATAATACGATAGAAAGAGAACGAGAGAGAGTGAGAGAGAGAGAGAGAGAGAGAGAGAAAAAGGAAAGAAAACGTGCGAAATAATAAAAGTAACAACGGCCCTTAACAGCGCGGAACGATCTTCTTCGTTGCGAGAGCGTACCACGCGTTTTCATTTTTTACACGATGCGAGGTGTGCTGTACCTCCAACGAACTATCCGATTCTCCACGCAACACCGCCATGGTTTTTATCGTCCTCAGTGTTATCATTCTTCTTTCATTTTTAACAATGAGTCAGAGAAGATCGTTTCGGATGACCGTAGTTAGCGTGACCACAGAGGAATGCGACTAAGCAAATGTTTAATTTGAAATAGTCAAACGATTCAAGTCTGTGTCGTATGATTGTCGAACGATCGAGAATTCGAATAAAACTGTATAAAGTGCTGCCGATTATTCTTTTACATTTCGTTGTCGCATTAACGGATCTCTGTCATCCTGTGTCGTCGGTCTCTTCTCGATGCTTGGCATAAAACAAACAAAAAAAAAAAAAANCCAATTTATAATTATTTAACCATATCATTCACGTATTGCTGAATCGACCACACCACGAGAACGCCATAAAATGAAATGAAAATGAAAATGAAAATGAAAAAGAAAAATACTTTGATTCCGCATCACCGAATACGATGCGCGTTGATCGAGAACGATGATCCGTGAGAAGAGTTCGTAAGCATAATTCGGATTCACACACACAATTTCTATTTTATGATATTTAGAAGGAACGAAAGCATACCAGCCGGGGCAACGTACGTGGTATCTGTATCTCGGATATGGCGCCTGTGGTTTAACAACACGAGAGTCAGTTTCGGAATCAAAATCAGAATCTGGACTCGCCGTTCTGAGCCGCTCCAGCCGATTCGCAATGGCGAACACCGCTGTTGGCAAAGAGGTGTTTGAAACGTTGAGCGTTGGGAACACACATTACATATATTCAGAGAAATGTATCGTTGCCAGAGGGTGCCGGTCCATTGATACCGTATTCCCATTGCGAATAGGTTGCAGCGGGAAACGAGACAAAAAAAAGAAAAAACTTACGTTACGCTTTACGCAAGGTCGTTCCAGGCACCTAGATAACAAACGGACAAACAAATGTAAGCGCATCCGCGGCCAGAATAGGAACCATGTTATTTGTCACTGACGTATATTCGATTCAGAGATGTTCAGAGCAGGAGTATGGAATGACCAGTGCGGCTTATATAATAATACGATAGAAAGAGAACGAGAGAGAGTGAGAGAGAGAGAGAGAGAGAGAGAGAAAAAGGAAAGAAAACGTGCGAAATAATAAAAGTAACAACGGCCCTTAACAGCGCGGAACGATCTTCTTCGTTGCGAGAGCGTACCACGCGTTTTCATTTTTTACACGATGCGAGGTGTGCTGTACCTCCAACGAACTATCCGATTCTCCACGCAACACCGCCATGGTTTTTATCGTCCTCAGTGTTATCATTCTTCTTTCATTTTTAACAATGAGTCAGAGAAGATCGTTTCGGATGACCGTAGTTAGCGTGACCACAGAGGAATGCGACTAAGCAAATGTTTAATTTGAAATAGTCAAACGATTCAAGTCTGTGTCGTATGATTGTCGAACGATCGAGAATTCGAATAAAACTGTATAAAGTGCTGCCGATTATTCTTTTACATTTCGTTGTCGCATTAACGGATCTCTGTCATCCTGTGTCGTCGGTCTCTTCTCGATGCTTGGCATAAAACAAACAAAAAAAAAAAAAAGAAACCAAGGATCAAGTCGCACGCGTCAGTGTATCAGTATTTGAAGGAAAATGTTTGATTCCACTGTGAACACGAGCGATCAAATTCAGGAGACTCATTTATTCTAATGCGGCGCATTTTTCACCGAATAAACATACATGGCGAAGATGTACAATGTATTATATGCTATGTATCATATTATATGCTCTCATATATGTATATATTTATATATATATATATACATACACGAACGTACACATGTAGTGCAATGAAAGTCTTGTGAATTCTGGAGAACCGAAAAAAAAAGAAGCGGTGAACTGTTATCGAAACGACAACTAGACTTGAATTGCTCGGTCATTTCAAAACGAACTTTTTATTAGATAATAATGTATCTTTCTTTCTTTGTTCTCGTGTAATTCTGTTGTTCGAATTGCAAAGAATCAAACATTTTCGTTTAGGTATTAATAGCTCTCGCGAGGGGCTTGAACCGATCCCTAGACGTGACTGCGAGCAGCGTGCCGATTCATGGAACGGATGGATTGAAAAATACGAGAGAAGACGGAAATGGGACCCGGGATGGATCAAAGTATTCGCCGCGGTCGTCGCGTCGTTTCTACGCGATCTCGGAGTGTTCATCCGTTACATCTGAACCATACCCGACCATCGCAACACCTGACCACCTTCCGTTTCAGCCGACAACAGAAAGCCGAATTACGTTCCCACTTGTCCGGGGTCCTGCGCTTTTCGAAACGCTCTCCATTCTTCAGCTTTGGGAAACCGTTTGAAAATCGATTTCCAAAGGCGCCATGTATAATCGTGTATTCGAGCTATTGCTATACACCGAGTCCAACGATGGCAATCGAGAGGGAGAGAGAGAGAGAGAGATAGAGAGAGGAAGAGGATAGTAAGTGCTATCTTTTAGAGGTGCGGGGAGAGAAACGTCCTTCCGCTGTCCTTTCATTGACGCTGCTAGCTGACGTCACGATCTTGGGGAAGTCGATCACGGTGTGTCGACACCTTTTTGTCACCCGGAGGATAACTATGATCGCAATTCCACGATACATCAATGACGGACGAGAGAGACGGTTGCAAAAGCTACGGATTCGCGTAATTTGCATCTGAATTTATGTGCGCACGCTCGCGCCTCGATTCAACACACATGAAAAAAAAACACAACACACAAAGAGATACGTACACGGACAGCTAAATGAATACAGAAACGATACATGCATACATACACGTATACGTTCTCACACTTGTACACGTAACTTAGGCCGCTCGGTTTAGTACTTTTAACGATGATAAAAATGTTCGTTTATATCTGATACAATGATAGTTGAATAAAATGTTTGTTATAGCCAAGTACTCTTTGTGCTCTGTGAATACCTGTGTATCCATTCGGGGATGTGTTGATGTTACATCATCGCGAGAGAGAGAAAGAAAGAGAGAGAGAGAGAGAGAGGGAGGAAAAGAGCGCGAGTCGAATTTTCTATTTTCATGGCTTCTCAACGGTTGTTTTCCGTTATACCATTTGCGACACGTTGAATCGATTAGAGTCCATCCTATCGGAATCGAGCATTCACAGACACCTTACACACCACTTGGCGTCGGCAAAGTCCTACGAACGATAGAATTGTACAAGAAAGAGAACGAAACAAGCTCCTATACACGTCTGTACACACTCGTGCGCTCGACGCGTTGCCTGAAACTTGCGGTTTTAAACGAATTCAGCGAAAAAAATCATTTTTGTACACGCTATTTCATGCACAGATTGCGGATGTTTTAGTATCTTTTACAATATTATTTTTATTATATGTTCAACACGTTAACCGTCGTGTCATACATATTCGCTAAATACTGGCGAGGATCAGAAGGGTGTAGTAGCCAGCGTCTCAACTTTTATTTCCGGTCTAAACGAAACGCTTCGATTTTTATTTGATGTTTGTGATTAACTGAGTCGGCGCCCACACGTGTTCAACACTCGATCACATTCCAAAGAATATACGCTAGAGATCTGATCAAACCGAATTCGATGTTTCACAAATCTCAGATAAATCGAATCCGCAGTCTATAATCGTAATTCGACGGCTGTAAGTTGAAATACCGTGTCGCGTTCGTCAGAAGTGTTTCTTAGATAGCGTTGCTTTTATACATTGTCGATATCGGTGCAGCTCTCTTATCGAGAACACTTCATCGAAAACACGTGCGCGGGTATCGAGATTGTTGTTGCGTGCGTGAACACCTAAGCGTATTCGAAACGTGTGCGAACCGGAGCCCCTTAGTTGACAACACCGCAACGTGGACAACACACATGGTCGATAGGCGATCCAATTATTTCGTATACAGCATTACCAATGTGTTTCTTATCGAATTGAACGTGTAATTATTTATATACAAATATAAGACGATTCATTGTGTATATTAAAGAAAAAAAAAAAAGATATTCACAACGCGCGCGAGAGTGAGAGAGAAAGGGAGACAGAGCGAAAGATAAATAGATAGATAGATAGAGAGAGAGAGAGAGAGAGAGAGAGAGAAAGAGCGAGTGAGAGAAAAAGACGCGTACTGTTGGCAGTTGAAAAGTTGGCAGTCAACAGTGACTGACTCTGGTTCAGTAGAATAGCCTTCACGGACAGACACATAGAATTTAAGTACTACATTAGTTATGTCAGCGCGCGCCCTGTCCAAGCGCTTCGAGTATTTTCATTTGCTCCGTATAATGTTACGGCTGTCAACTTTCCAGCTACCAATTATGTAATACTTTTAATGTATGTATAGGAAATAGAGCCACACTCCACTTGTACACCGCGTACTTTCGAAAGAATTCGTCAGTTCCTATACGTATAAATTTTGCGCATAAAGTACGGTCAATTCGATATACATGAATATATATATATATATATATGTATATATACATAGCGTATATACATTCACAATATATATATATAGCGTACTACGCGTACTCGATTCAAGCGGAGTGTGAATTCAAATTCGAAATTCGACAAGCGACACGTGGCTTAACTGAAATAGTACAGTTTACTTCTTATTCCGATCGCTGTTGCCGTTTTTGCCTTATCGAATCTTTGCAAGCGAGACGTATAACGTTTATTTTATTTTTTCAATGTCGCTATAGAAATTAAGCGTGTTAAAAGAGAAAGCAAAAGATTTTAAATATGTACATTTCATTTATTCTGCTTACGATCGCTGTGACCGCGCGGGCGAACCGCAGCGGTTCGTTTCACGGGGCAAGAACGGCGCAAACGCACTCGATCATCCGAGTTTTAACAAATCCCTCCCTCCCCTGTTCATACGTACGTTAAGTTTACGATAATCTAGTTTAGTTTTATAGGAGAAAAACAAATTATCGAATAACCACTATTTAAATCTGCAATTGAATCTAAACAAACAAAAGAGAAAAGAGAGAGAGAGAGAGAGACGGTTAACATCGATTAAAGTAACGACTTGTCGTCAATACAATTAATATATTACACTCTTGAGTTTTAACCGTACGAAGGCACGCTGCCTCCTGGAACTAGTTCGAGAAAATTCCATACAAAAAATTACCCAGAATACTTTGCTGCTACAAAATATCATTGTCCGAAAGAAAATAGAGCAACTTTTGGTTCGAGGGACTGCAGCGTGCCATTGCATAGTTAACTTTGGTATTTTGTCACGCTGTGTTATAATTTTACGCTGTTTCGAGAAATGGGGATTTTTTCGTCGGTACTTTCCTTATGTTTTTTATCTCGTTCAGGAACGGCTGTATCCTGTGGAAACAGAGTGCACTGGATTTTTAATTTTACCAGAAGCATAATAAACACGCTCGAATGCCAAAGCGACGAAGCGAAATCGTTCGTCGGTTTACTTTTGTTCTTCTAGCACTCTCTTCTACTAAAGCAAACGAGGAGTCGCTCAGTTTTCATTTCCGAATGTGAACCGCGGGATTTATTACTTGTAAAATAAACTATTTTGACATGGTTGAGGTATGACAATAAAATTAGTCAAAGTGCACCGAACTGCAATTTGTTTGAAAACCTCGTCGTAGACCGCCGGAGCTCTCATTGCCAAACGGGAAACGATCGTTCACTTTGTACCGTGCGAACTCATGTTTTTCGACCTCATAATTTTGCAATGTTTGTCGTCGAGATTCTGCGATGCGATAGCTAAATGGTAAAACAGAAAAAAAGCAACAGATTGTTCTTCTATACGTGGACACGACACGAGACACTCGCGCGCATCCGCATACGATGTAATAGCAACACGTATGGTTTACAAACACAAAGAATAAAAAGCCTTGTAACAACACGAAAATAACAGTGCTGTATAGACTCAACTGAAGGAAAGGCAAATACAATTTCGTTTGTATCAAGAGCGCGGATTATTCGAATGAATTCATCCCTATCGAATTGCTCAGATCGGATCGATGCGATGTTTATATATATATGCTACCGATTCTGCATTCGGCGGACTAGCTCGTATTCAAGCTTTGGTCTTATTATTTCATTTCCGAGGATTCAAATTAATGTTCAAGCTAAGAAAACAATTTCCTTAAGGTCTTTAATGATTTATTACATTTTAAAAGATCGTTGAATTTGTAAGCGTTACGTATGTCAATTATCGATTGAAAAGATGAAAAAGAAGAAAGATGCTGAACGAAAAAAAAAACAAGATTTAAAGAACATTTTGACATCTGGCATTTCGGAATATCTCACATCGAAATTAATAGGTTATGTTCGGAATTCTAAAATCTTCGAGCAAGCGTTAAGCGTTAAGCGAGTTCGCAAGGTATTATTTGCAACTTTATTCGTACATGTTCAAAATTTAAAAAATGTTATGGCACAAGCGCGCACCTATTCTGACAAATATATCAGAGAGGTCTCTGCGTATACATATGTAGACATTACTTTCTTTTCCTGCCTACGATCCGTTTAGAGTCGGACGCGTGTCATAGTCGACATAAGTGACATCGTTGTGTTAAAGAAACGTCTTGCATTGAATTTGAAATTAATAGTAAGTTTAACGATGGATCAAATCGAAGAATTACAGCGTCGAATAAGACAGCTCGAAAGTCAATTGTCGCAGGAACGGAATCAATCGACCAGAGAAAAAATAAGACATATGTCGAGCGAGGTGGTTGATTCGAACCCTTATAGGTAATTGCCTTATTTTATCTTTTAAATAATATTTAAGAACAGAGATGCAATAATTTTAGGTTGTCTAATATGAAATGTAGGATTTCTAATTATTATCCCTTTTGATTAGTCGCTTAATGGCTCTAAAGCGTATGGGCATAGTGGACAATTACGAAAAGATAAGAGAACTTACAATTGCCATAGTTGGCGTGGGTGGAGTTGGAAGTGTAACTGCAGAAATGCTCACAAGATGCGGCATTGGAAAGGTATTAATCTTACATATATCACAACATTATAAATAACAAATTTCCTAAGTAATTAATACTATGTATTCTAGCTGATCCTGTTCGATTACGATAAAGTAGAGATGGCAAACATGAATAGACTCTTTTTCCAACCATATCAGGCTGGTCAAAGCAAAGTTGAAGCAGCAGCAAAAACATTACAATACATTAATCCAGATGTGGACATTGAAACACATAATTATAATCTCACTACTGTGGACCACTTTGACCATTTTATGGAAACTATAAGGTAGAGAGAACAATAATGCAAAAACTACAATACTTCTGATGTCTAGAAATAAGAATTCTGATTTTTAGTAAATCAAGTTTAACTGGAGGGCCAGTAGATCTAGTACTGAGCTGTGTAGATAATTTTGAAGCCCGTATGGCAATTAACACTGCCTGCAACGAGCTAAATCAAAAGTGGTTTGAAAGCGGAGTTTCAGAAAATGCTGTTTCTGGACATATTCAATTTATTATTCCCGGGGAAACAGCTTGTTTTGCGGTAAATAAGAACTATAACTAAAATGTGAAACCAATTTCGATTTTTCTAATCAATGTGTTTTCTCTTTAGTGTGCTCCTCCATTGATAGTAGCGGAAAATATAGATGAAAAGACATTAAAACGAGATGGTGTGTGTGCAGCATCCTTACCTACAACCATGGGAATTGTGGCTGGATTTTTAGTTCAGAATGCGTTGAAGTATCTTTTAGATTTTGGCGAGGTCTCCTACTACTTAGGCTACAATGCAATGCAGGATTTCTTTTCTAAAATGATATTAAGACCGAATACGAACTGCGATGACGGATATTGTAGAGAACGCCAACAAGAGTATGCGAAGAAACCAAAACCTGAGCCAAAAGTAGAAGTTATCGAAGATAAACCATTGCACGAAGACAATGAATGGGGTACGTTAATAATGGAAAAATGGTACCAGAACAATTTCAGGATTTACTAAAATTATATCTTTTGCAGGAATTTCATTGGTCGACGACCAAGATGAACAGGAGAACGAGACACCATCGTTTACGTGCACGAAGGAAGCTCACAGTTCATCATCTCAATCAACCGATTCCAAAATTGATAGCATACAATCCGATTCCGGTCCAACTCTTGAGGATCTAATGGCACAAATGAAGTCCATTTGAATTTTATTTAATTTTCGTTGAGAACTTTTTTCTTAAATTCGAGCGAAATCAAGTCTCTCATTTTGCTGTGGAAAACCATTATAACAAGAACAAGTATGTGGCGAATAATATTTTACAGAGTATAATATTAGCAATGGAACATGTGAATAGAGAAAGGAAGAAATAGTGTAACAAATTAGGTTTATAATTAGTGTACATACATTTTTTATAACTTGCGCGCTAAAAGTAAATATGAAAAAGTTAAGAACATCGTTAAGAGCACTCAGCCGTAGGTAATGCATGTAGAGGATGTAACAACGACAAATCATCTTTCGTAGAAAACCACTTTTTCAAAAGCTGTTCCATACTAGATACACATTCCTGTAATTGAATATACTTTGTATGTTTATAAAATGATCAATATTTTCAGTCTTACCTCATTTATATTTGTATCGGACACATTTAGCTCCTTTTTAAGACGCACAGCGTCTAAAAGCCAAAGATGTGCAGACTTTTGAACAATGTAAAACTCAGAGTTTACTATTCCAACAATTAGTTTACTGTTTGTACACGAAGAACTGCAACAGACAAAGAAATATAACATATGTAACGTGTACATGCAATAAGTTTATAAAACTTACTTATTGAAGTAATTTTCGGTTACTCTTTTCAAGTCCATGTCCCATGGAACAATGGTTTTCAGTAATAAATTTTCTTTCCTTTCGGAACTCGATGCATCCACTTTTTCTAATGCCTTCAGCAATCTACTTCTCACTTTTTTATTGTCTACAGGACATTTTCTTGTTATTTTTTCTTCCGTTTCACGCTCTATTTTCTCGTCGCGCGCAAGATCTCTGTAATAACCGCGTTCTTCGGATGATAATTTCTTCCAGCAATCAGTCAAGATGTGCGCGATTTGAGCTGCTGATCTATCCGGATTCTGTTCTACAACTAACATTAGAAATATCCATTATAGATTGTATTCAAATTTATTTTGTTGCACTGAATCGTATATGACCTATTAGGGTATTCACCTTTTGATCTCATTTGCATAGAAAATTTAGTAAAACCATCGCATACATTAGCTTGACGCAAATTACTTTCTGATCGTTCAATTAAGTTTGAATTAGCACAAGGCTGCACGTTTGTGCCTCCCTATAGTGAAAAGAATATTTCCTGAATTACAAAAATTATTCAATCCAATTCCATTAAAAAATGTTTACCTTTAAACCAGGCACATGCCCTTTGCTCCATTCTAACAATGTAACACACTTCTTTTTATCTGATTTATTTTGTTCTCGCGAGACTGTGGGTACATTTTCATCCTGCATTTGATTTTCTTTTTCATTTGTATCCGCATTATTAATAATCAAGGAATCGTTCCAGTCAAAGTCATCACCTAAATCTACAATTGGTAACTGACTTAATGTATCCTGTGAATTTAAATCAAACGGAGGGCTATCGTCATCATTTTCTTGCTTCATGCTGTGAAAAAACATCATATGTTTGTGAACATTTCAGATTCAATTGTAGAATAAAATTCTTAAATAACTTACAGTGCAATTGATGAATTATCATCACTGCTGCACACTAGCGTGAAATTTTGGGAATCGTTTGAATCTGACTCACTTAATTCTAAATGTGGTAAAGGAACATTAAAATGTTCTGTATCTTTCATCCATACATCATTATTCTTGTCTTGATCATTTGTTCGCTTTTCAGTGCTTTTCCCTTGTCTATTATTTTCAGAATTCGTATTTAGTGCAGAATCACCAGTTTGGTCCGTGTTATCGCGTTTCTCTAGTGCACGCATGGGTTTCTCTTTAGATGTATTAGTGCTTTCTTCGATCAGATTTAGATCAGGATTATATTGTTTATTATTTTCGGAATTCGTATATAGAGCAGAATCACAAGTTTGGTCACTGTCATCGCGTTTATCTGGTGCACGCACGCGTTTCTCTTTAGATGTATCAACATTTTCTTCAATCGGTAATTTTCGTTTTTTACAAGCAGGCCATTCGGTTTTTTTGTCATCATCAATTTCTCTTTGAGAGTAGTCTTGGTAGTCGCTTATTGAGACCTCGCAAGGATTTTCTTCTACTTGTACTTCTTTTTTTATTCCATAGAAGTCTTTTATACGTGTATCCAGTGTATCGTGAATTGCTTGCTACAGATATGACACGTATTACGCATAAATTCATGTATAAATCAAAATTATTTCCGCAAAAATTGTAATCACCTGTTCTTTAAAAAGAATGGAGGTTTTATTTGGATCTAGATTAACATCGATATTTCTAGCGTTCGTTAAAATGTGCAAAAGAAATATTGGTTTCTTCTTGGATGATGAATCGTATTCGAATGCTTCCAATATTATTTTAATTACAACCTAAAAATTAATTGATATCGTTTATTGCCCTTTTTTATTAATAAATAATGTAAAGCCTTAAAAGTATACCTTTTCTAAGTCTTTATATTTGATAGGCCTATTATTTACAAAAATATACTGCGCTCCAGACTGAAACACTTCAGATACATTCCGAGATTCTTTCAGAGGCAGCATTAGCTTCATTCTAAACTGAAAAGTAGAAAACCACTTTCTCTTTTAAGCATTTTGTAAAATGATAAGTATGATTTAATCATGTAGTTACCTCTTCATTCTCAATATTTATCCAAGCCATTTTTGATGTCACCTTCTTTCCTAAAACACAGGATACTGCTTCTTCTAACGAAGATGTGCCAGGCTTTGTAAATACAACATTGTTGTCTACCTTATAACTCATTCGTACCATAAATTTGCACATCGCATAACTTTTGATGAATGATTCTAGTATTTTAAGATCTTGATTGCCTTTCCTCGGATTAGTAATAATTTGCCTTCTCACAGGTAGCTGTTTAAATAATTGTCTAACTTGAACAGTTGTTCCTGAAAAAATATAAAAATATAAAAAGAAATATAAGTGAAACTCTGAGTGTTCTCTTAATACCTCTGGCTCTGTGACACGGTTCAGATTTTGCGATGCATCCACGGTTGTCAATGGCATACGATGTAGCCACTTCCTCTTCTTCCGTTTTGGATACGATTGTAAGATCTGATACAGCGCTTAAGGCATATAATGCTTCGCCTCTGAATCCATACGTCTCTAATAAGTCTGCCATCGATACGAATAATAGGTTAAATTAAGCAAACCATATACTTTCAACAATTACTTACCCAAATCAGAGAAGTTAGAAATTTTCGAGGTGTAAGCAGGCAAAGCCATGTAAGGTGCATCCAATTTGGCAATGCCACAACCGTCATCTTTCACTTCTATCAAAGTAGCACCGTGATCTGTCTGACGATTAAAATAGAAATTTTATGGTGAACCATCGTGAACGAAGGTGAAGGATATACAAAGAAAAATACCAGATTAACTTCCACATTGTTAGCGTTCGCGTCTAACGCATTTTCTATTAATTCTTTGGCAGCATTCGACACTGAAGTTATAATTTGCGTGGTCGTAATTAGTTTTACGGTATTGTTGTCCAAAGCCGATATGGTCATTTTGACAGGACATTAAATCAGTTTAATATCACACACAGTTTAAAAGTTTATCAAGTTCTGATTTACGAGTAAAATTTTTTTCGCATGTACTGTACGTCGACGCATAAAAATACCACTGCAATTGTCAGCGCGGGAATACCACTTTTAAATGTGATCGGTGATCCGTAATTACACCAGCGATCGCGGCACCTCTTGTGGTGAAATCTTGAAGCTCCGTTCAGAGAACCATACAGCGCCAATTAGTAAGTAACGAAACGCTCAAACTGCTAGCCAAATAGTACCGACAGGGTAAGATACGCGCAGACTTAACCTGAGGTGCCATCTGGCGGAGAAAATTGTAATCAATCAGGCTATTTTCGAGTTTTATGTAGCAAACGATTCTTACCCTACTTTGTAATATTGACATGCATATAGATATATTGTTTTAGAAAGACAATGATGGGAAAGAGTCGGATTATAAGGGACTTATGAAACTGAAAACCACAAGAAAATTTCATGCTCTTGCTTTTGTGCATTTGCATAATTTCGTAGAATACAAAAACTTGTTATGAACTTTAGAACTTAAGAAATTATATAGGAACAATTTATACAATAAATTAATATTAAGGCACGATCTTATCTAAAAGAATTTGGTTGTGAACTGTGTCCAGCACATTTGTTAAACGAAAAAACCACCACGTTTAAAAATATATTCAAGTCAGTCGGTATCGAGTTGCCCCTATATCACTTCTGCATTCTTAAAATATAATTTGTACAGCAGCCAAAAACATTCAAGAACGAAGTCGCTGTCTAACGCAACTTGCTCTTCTCGGAACGACAAACACATTTTACAGAAATATTTACAAAAAAAAACGATTAAAAATATTCTTTTTTGGCCAATCATTCTCGTCTCGTTGTACGTATATTTTCCGTTTTTTTTTTTTGTAGAAGTTCACTGAAATATCTCTAAAATCTCTTCAAGTCTTTTAAAGTATTAAAACGCGTTCCCCTAGAGACTATATCTTCAGGTAACGCGAAGTCTTACGAGGTATCCCTAGTAAAAACTGGAATGTATTTTCCCTGAGATTGTTATCATCGTCGTTGTTATTCCTATCATCGAAATCCACGATGTTGTTGTCTATAACAATGTCGAAGTCTCGGTCACCCATTAAAGTTCTGAGACACAAATTCTCCTGTTCGATCTGCGAACGCACCAACAGCTCCAACGTGAAAAGATGATCGTCGCAGGCCTCGGGTAGATAATCGTGCATAAATTCCGCTAATCTGTGAACAAACGTTGACTGTCACTATTGTAATCCGAGCGTATATGCTCACTTTGTTCTTTGATTTTCGTAACGATAAAACGTTATCGTACACAGATTAAACCGGGAATACAAATGATGTCGACAGACCGGAAACAAGAAATTATGTGTACTATGAGTACCACAGAGATAACAATAAGGGTAACGCTACTATTTCCAGACGTTTCATTTCACGATCATTAAGAGATTAACCATTAGCGGACGACGACTTTTTCGGCCGAGTCAGGTAGCAGGACGAGGCGATTTTTGCACATATGTCGAGTGTCTTATATGGTACAATAAAATGATCTTAGATATAAGTTATTTATATTATTTGTATTTATCTTATCTTTATATATATTATATATATTATATATCTAATTATTTATATTTATCTATATTCACACTTTTATGAATATAATTTTACAAAAATTATGATTTGTAGTTTCGTTCGGTGTGATAGTTTATAATCTTTCTTTGTGCCGGTAACAATTACACGCAGTTTCCCGTTTAGACGAATTTCGTCAGAGTTGGTCGTCGAACTTGAAGATCTGTCTCGTGGTTGACGAAAATCTCCTCTCAATTTGTTGATCAAAATTTTGCGAAAGTTCAAACGTGTAACTGGCTGTTCGTTTCTCTGTCTTTTTTTACACGTTTGTAGAGAATGTACGAATTGATTAAACAAATCTCCAGTCTCCGGAAAAATAATTTGCGCCACCGCAAGAGATAACGAAATTTAACATAAACATATTATAATTTATATATTATAATATAAATATAATAATTAATATAAATAATATATAATATAAATATTATATTATAATATTATATTATAATTTATATAATATTTAACATATCGCCTCTCGCTCGCCATTCGTCCTGCCGCGCGAAATGCCGTGGCGACCGAGAGTCGCCTCTCGTCCGCTAAGGGTTAATTCTAGTTACAGAGTATTCTTTGTGGGAAATTCTTACAAAATACTTGTTAAAAAAATAATACAGAATCGAGTGATCGAACTTTCCAAGGATTTTACATCGAATCGAAATATTACCGTAAAAGATATTCAACGTTGTGCCCGCTCGGGCCGGAGGACCGCAAGATTTGATCCGCGATGCAATGCAGCGGCGCATCCCCTAGCCACTGATCGTTTTTGTTGGTGGCGATGTAAACGATGACCGAGAAACTTTTGTCTCCGTTCCGGCTGTAGAACGTCGAGAACCTCGTCACATATCCGCCCAAAGTGCACTCGCGATTCTCCAAATAAAGAAGTGCCACGCTGTCCTCGACTTGAAACGCTCGACCATACACGATGCCCTGCAGCAACAAAGAAATCGCTTTAATTACAAGCGAAAGCATCGTCGCTCGATTGGCGAATTCTCTGCTGTGTGTTTGGTTTCTCCGTAGGATGTTCTCTATGTTCTTTCAAAACAATGAAGTAACTGTGAGCGCTCTACCGCATTTGTCCAAAAAAATATACTATTGGGTTGTTCGGAAAGTTCGTGCCGATTTTTTGATAAGTGGCGTAAGGACAGGTGTCTGAATGTTATGCTATGCTATATACAACATAATATAATATTATGTAATATTAAATTGTAATATTAAGTATATAATATAAATATATAATAAATAATATTATATTAATATATATATTATATACTATTATATTATATATAATATAATGGGCCCCAATATATTATATATAAATATTAAATTGTAATATAATATAATATTATGTTATATATATATTATTTAACATTATCATATTTGGAAAAAAATTTGGTTACGATACGTTAATTTTTGTCAGTTTTATACGCCTTCGAATATAATATAATATATATTATATTATTATAATAATATATAATATTATAATAATAATATATATTATATATATAATATAGTATTATATATAATAAAATACTAAAATTTAAATCTTCAATTTTCCTTCGAAATCTGCACGAACTTTTCGGACAACCCGATATTTTCCAAACGAAATGAGAATATCTCATTCAGAAGACGTAACCGCATTACTCTACGTACCTCTTGTTCCTTTATCAGCGTAGCCACGCGTCCAGGCTGCAACAAAAGAAAACACGAATCATTAAGCAAATCCGATCACTATCAAGAGACAAACAAAACAAACAATGAATAAGGGGACCTGCGTGCGCGGACAGCATGACGTAAACATGTAACCCGAACACGAGAGAATCGAAATTGTGTTTGAAAGATATCAGTTTCTACGAACTGGTTTCTCAGTGGAGACTAGCAGCGGCGATACGGTAACACGAGATCGAGAGAAATCGCAGTCATTTAATAAAACTCGGGTAAATCGGATTGACAAGTAGTACAATAAACTGTAAGGAATGCGGATCTCATCGCATTGCGTTTATTATTATATATTATATAATATATACAATTATATATAATATAATTATATTAATATAATAATATAATAATAATTATTATTATATTATATTATTATAATTAATTAATATAATAATATAATAATAATAATTATTATATTATATTATTATAATTAATTAATATAATAATACAATTATATTATAATATATATAATTATTATTATTATAAAATAATAATGCGATAAAACACGTCTACGATGCAAATGCTAATCAGGTTAGATCAGTTCGTGTTAATAAACTGTAAGAAATGCGGATCTCATCTTGCGTTATTAGCTTTGCAACAATGAAACAAGAGTGAAGCGACGCTCGAGTCACATGTTTACAAAATCCTGGCAGAAGGATCTGTACCATAATTCGATAATAAAACAACAGCACAATAATAATGCATAACATAATATAATATTATGTAATATTATATATATATAATATAAATATATAATAAATAATATTATATTATATATAATATAATGGGCCCCAATATATTATATACAATTATATTATATTATATAATATATATATATATATATATTATATAATGGCTAATCAGGTTAGATCAGTTCGTGTTAATAAACTGTAAGAAATGCGGTCACATGTTCACAAAATCCTGGCAGAAGGATCTGTACCATAATTCAGTAATAAAATAACAGCATAATAATAATAATGCAATAAAAACACGTCTGCGATGCAAATGCTAATCAGATCAAATCATTTCGTGTTAAACGACTCGATGGAATCTATTTTACTAACAATCTTTACAGACCACAAGCAGAGAGAGAGAGAGAGAGAGAGAGAGAGAGAGAGAGAGAGAGAGAGAGAGAGAGAGAGAGAGAGAGAGAGAGAG